ATTGTTGGTGGGACTGCAAATTGGTACAGCCAATATGGAAAGCAGTATGGAGATTCCTTGGAAAACTTGGAATGGAACCCCCATTTGACCCAGCTATCCGACTCCTCAGTCTATACCCAAAGGACTTAAAAACAGCATATCATAGGGACACAGCAACATCAATGTTTATTGCAGCACAATTCACAATAGCTAAACTATGGAACCAACCTAGATGCCTTTCAGTAGATGAATGGATAAAGAAAATGTGGTATATATACACAATGGAATATTACTCAGCAATAAAAGAGAATAAAAATCATGACATTTGCAGGTAAATAGATGAAATTGGAGAAGACAATGCTAAGTGAAGTTAGCCAATCCCCCAAAATCAAATGCTGAATGTTTTCTCTGATACAAGGAGGCTGATTCATAATGTGGTTGATAGGGGAAGCATGGGAGGAATAGATGAACTCTAGATAGGGGAAAGGGAAGGGAAGGGAAGGAAGGGGTCAAGGGGTGTAAAAAATATTGTGGAATGAGATGGACATCATTACCTTAAGTACATGTATGAAGACACAAATAGTGTGAATATACTTTGTATACAATCAGAGATATGAAAATGTGTGCTCTATATGTGTAATATGAATTGTAATGCATTCTGTTGTCATATATAACAACTTAGAATAAAAAATTTAAAAAATAAAATATAAAAAAGGCCTGGGGATGTGGCTCAGTGGTTAAGTCCCCCTGGGTTCAATCCCCAGTAGCCCCACACACACTAAAAAAAAAAAAAAAAAACCTATAAAAGACAGGAAAATCATGGCAGACAAAATAGAAACAACAAGGGCAATAGAAAACAAGAACAAATAGTTGGGCATGGTAGCCCATGCCTATAATCCCAGTAATTTAGGAGGTGGAGGCAGGAGGGTTACAAATTCAAGGTCAGCCTCAGTAAATTAGCAAAACCCTGAATCAGAACAAGAAAGAAGAAGAAGAAAGGAAGGAAGGAAAACAGTGACAAATATGGTAGATATTCATCTAACTATATCAATAATCACTTTAAATATCAGTGGTCTAAATGTACCTATTAAAAGATAGAGTTTGTCAGAAAGCACCAAAAACAAGACTCAACTAGATGTTGCTAACAAGAAACTCACTTTAAATTTAAAGACACATATAGATTACAGGGTAAAGGATGAAGAAAGATATACCATACTAATAGAGAGTAGGAGTAGCTTTATTAATTTCAGATAGAGCAGACTTCAAAGCAAGGAAAATTGTCAGGGAAAAAGAAGGGTATTACATAATGATGAAGGATCAACTCCAAGAAGATGTAACAATTCTTTATGCATATGTGTTAGACTGTTAAAGTACATGAGACAAAAACTGATAGAACTGCAAAGAAAAATAGACAATCCACTACTATAGTTGGGAACTTTAATAACTCTCTATCAGAAATAGATCCAGTAGGCAGAAAACTCAGTAAGGACAGAATTGAATTCAACAGCACCATCAATCAAATGGATGTAACAGACATCTATAGATCATTTCATCTAACTGCAGCAGAAAACACATTCTTCTCAGGCTCACTGGAACATTCATGAAGATAAACACATGCTGGGCTATAAAACACACCTTAACAAATTTAGAATAAGAGAATTCATATAATGTCATCTCAGATCACAATGGAATTAAACTAAAAATCAATAAAAGAAAGATAGCTGGAAAATACCAAAATACCTGGATATTAAACATGTTTCTAGGGCTGGGAGTATAGCGCAGTAGTAGAGTGCTTGCCTAGCATGGATTAGACCCTGGGTTCAATCCCCAGGACTAAAACATAAAACAAAAGAACACATAGATCAAAGAAGAAATGAAACAAATAACACATGGATCAAAGAAAACAATCTCAATAGAAATTTTAAAATATTTTGAACTAAGGAAGATGAAAGTACAACTTATCAAAATTTGTGAGATTCAGTGATAAGAGTGACTATAAAAGAGTAAAATGTAAAACATGGAGTGTATATATTAGAAAAAGAAAACTGAAAAAAATCTGAAATCAATATCTAATATTCTGCCTTAGGAATTCAGAAGAGTTAGTTAAACCCAAAGTAAGCAGAACAGAAATCATAAAAATTAGAGATGAAATAAGTGAAACTGAAAACAAATTAATAGAGAAAAATCAACAAACCCAAAGCAGATCCTTTGAAAAGATCAATAAAATCAGTAGGCTTATAGCCAGGTTAAACAGAGAAAAAAGAGAAAACACAAATTCCTAATAACATAAGTGAAAAAGGGGACATGATTTCAGATGCCAAAGATATTAGAAGGATAATGAAGAAATATTATAAACAACTATATGTCACACATTTAAAAATCTGGAAGAAGTGAGCCAATCTTCCCAAAATTCATCCCAGAAGAAGTAGGCATATGAATAGACCTACGTCTATTAAAGTATTTGAATCAGTAAATAATAATCTTCCCAAATACAAAGCAGCAGGCTCAGATGAATTCAACAGTTGAATTTTACCAAATATTTAAGGAAAAATTTATACCAATTAGTACAATCTCTTACAGAAGATGGAGGCATAGAAATATTTATTAATTCCTTTTATGAGGTCAGTATTACCCTAATGTCAAAACCAAAGACATTAGGGTATAAGAAAACTATAGACTAAACTTTTTTATGAACATAGATGCAAAAACCCTCAACAAAATCTTAGCAAATCAAATCCAAGAATATGTAAGTAATTATATATAATTTCACATAATTATACACAGTACAACCAAGAGGGATTTATCCTGGGCATGTAAGGCTGGTTCAGCATTTGGAATCAATCAATGTAATCAATCATATCAACAGGCTAAAGAAGAATTACATGATAATATTAATAGATGTGGAAAAAGCATTTGACAAAATTCAATACCCATTCATGATGAAACCTCTCAACAGACTAAGAATAGAGAGGAATTGCTCAATTTCATAAAGAACATCTCCAAAATACCTACATCATACACCATGGTTAACATCATACATAATAGTGAGAAATTCAAAGTTCAATATCAGGAACAAGGCAAGGATGTCCCTTCTCACCACTGCTTTTCAACATCATAGTGGAAGCCCTATATAATACAGTAAGACAAGGAAATTTTGTACAAATAGGGAAGGAAGAAATAGAAGTGCCTTTGTTTGAAGATGACATGATCACCTATATAGAAAATCTGACCCCCTCAAAAAAAATGAAAAAAAAAAAACCTCTCTGGGAACTAATAAGGTTGCAAAATACAAAATTAATATAAATTGCTGCCCCTGTCCAGTGCAGGCAGCTGAATTAAGGTCACTTGTGTGAATTCCAGGTGATGCAAAATAAAAAACAGACATGAAATACCTTTACACAAGCTTCAGGCTTTCCCTGGCTCCTGGCTTCAAGCCTCCCAAAAAAGGAGAGCAAGAGAAAGTCACCAGAGGCTGACCACAGAGAGGGCAAGCAGGGTGGAAAGTGGGCTTTAATTGGGGGGATTCCAAGAAATAATTCCAAGAAGATGTAACAATCCTTAATGCATATGTGTTAAACTGTTAAAGTATATGAGACAAAAAGTTCTATCTAAAAAAGGCAGAAGGGGTAGGATTACAAGGGGGCAGGTAAGTGTAACTCAACCCCAGCAGGTACACCTACACCTGAAGCCACGCCTTGCTATCCGAACTGGGACAATGCCCAAGTCACTACAAAATGTAGTAATTGGTCAGAGGCCCCTGCATCAGGACTTGAAGGTGTGTTCATTCAGAGCAGATTCCCACAATAAATCAATCATTTTCCTACACATAAGCAATAAGCAAGTATAATTTGACATTAAAACCATTACTATTTACATTAGCACTCTCCAAAACGAAAAATACTTAAGTGTAAGTCTAACAAAATATGTTCAAGATCTATATGAGGAAAACCACAACCCTCAGATCAAAGATTTTCAAAAACTAAATAAATGGAGAGATTTTCATATTTAGAAATAGCAAGACTCCTAGATGACAGCTCTTTCCAATTTGATCTATAGATACAATATAACACCAATCAAAATTCCCTAAAGTCATTTTGTGAATGCTGACAAATTGATTCTAAAGTATATATGGAGAAGCAAAAGATCCAGGGTAGCCAAGTCAATATTGAAAAAGAAAAAAGTTTGGAACTGATACTACCCAACTTCCAAGATTTGCTATAATGTATGATATTGGTGAAAGAATAAACAAATAGATCAATGGAACATAATGGAACCTAGAAATAGACTTGCATGAATACTGTCAACTGATCTTTGATAAAGAAGCAAAGATAATACTAACAGAGCTAATGGGCTTTTCAAAAAATGATGCTGAAACAACTGAACATCTATATGCAAAAGTATGAATCTAGATAAAGTAAGATCTTAAATGCTTCACAAAAATTAAATCAAAATGGAAAAGAGACCTGAAAGTAGAATGCAAAACTATAACATTCCTAGTAGGAAAATATTTCCAGGGAAATATCTGGACAACGTTGAGTATGGTGATCTGCTTTAGATACAACACAAAGCAGAGACTATGAAAGAAATAGTTGAGGGCTGGGGTGGTAGTTCCTCAGTGGTGGAGCGCTTGCCTGGCATGTATGAGGCACTGAGTTCAATCCTCAGCACCACATAAATAAATAAATAAAATAAAGATATTGTGTCCATCTACAACTAAAACTATTTTTTTAAAAAAAGAAATAGTTGACAAGATAGATGGACTTCATTAAAGTTAAAAACTTCTCTGTATAGGACAATGTCAAGAGAACAAAAAGACACACTATAGATTGGAAGAAAATATTTGTAAGTCATTTACGGTAAAGGACTAAAGTTCTATTATCCACAGTATACAAAGAACTCCTAGAACTCAACAACAGTAAAATGAACAATCTGATTGACAGTTAGTAAAAGACCTGAACAGCACCTCATCAAAGATATTCAGATGGCAAGTTAAATAAATGAAAAGATGTTCAACATCCATGTATCATTAGTGCATTGTAAATTTAATCAACAATAATATACTATCACACACATATTAGAATTGCCAAAATCCAAAACACTGGTAACATCAAATACTGACAAGGATATGGAATAAAGAAGAAACTTGAATTCATTGCTGGTGGGAATGCAAACTGCCAACACCTAATTTGGAAGAGTCGGGTAGTTTTCTACAACACTACCTATACTCTTAACCATATGATCCAACAATCTTGCTCTTTGGTATTTATCCAACTGAATTTAAAGTTTATGTCCACATAAAAATCTGTGTGTGTGTGTGTGGTGTGTATGTGTATGTGTGTGTGCATCCAGACAATGAAACACTGTTCAGTGTTAAAAATGAACAGGGATTAAAAAAAAAAAAAAATGAACAGGCTGTCAAGCCATGAAGAAACAGAGAAAACTTAAAATACATATTACTAACTAAAGAAGCCAATCTTCACTGATTATACACTATAAGATTTCTACTATATGATATTCTGGAAAAGCAAAATTATGGAAATGGTTAAGAGATCAGTGATTACCAGGGGTAAGGTGAAGAGAAGGAAGAGTAAGCAGAACACAAAAGATATTTTGCGGTAATAAAACTATTTGTATAATACTACAGTAGTGGACAAATGTCATACCCATCCAAACCCATGGAATGTATAACACCAAGATTAAACCCTAATGTAAACTATGGGCTTTGAGTGATTTAAAAAATTTTTTTTTGTGCCCACATATAGAATTGCATTAATATAGTAGTCACCATTTAGCCATGGAGGATATGTTCTAAGACCCCCTCCCCAGCGGATGCCTGAAATCACAGACAATACCAAACCACCATATATATATAATTTTTTCTTATATGTACATATCTATGATAAAGTTTAATCTATAAATCAGGCACAATAAGAGATTAATAATAATAATTATAAAAATAGAATAATTATAAAAATGTTATAAATGCTATGTGAATGTGATCTCTCAAAAATATACATATGTACATGTATACATATAAATACATATATATATATATATCCCCCCTAAGGCTGGGGATCCAATCCAGGGCCTTATGCATATTAGGTAAACACTCTACCACTGAGCCACATCCCTAGCCCTCACTTCCTTCAAAATATCTTAATTATTCAATGAACTCTAATAATATTTTTAGACTATAGTTGACCACAGGTAACTGAAACAGCAGAAAACAAAACTTCAGATGATGGGACTACTATATAATTGAAATATAGGCACCAAAAAAAGTGCTTAAAGAGGAATTATGTTTCTTAAAATTGGTTACTCCCGTCAATGTTCCAAAAGTCTAAACTTTGTTGACAGCATGAACTACCCTGAAAATTCTTAGTAATTTTAGATTACTTATCTCTCAGACACTAATACACAAACTTAAATAAGGTATTAATGAAAATGTCACTACAAACTGACAGTACAAAGTCCTAAAGAATATTTTTCAGCTTCTAGATGTGAGAGGCTAATAATTTTTAAAGGTGTTTGTGCAAATATTGTTTGTGCAAATACTATTTGTAAAAATGTATACCATTTGATGTGCTACCTATTGTATCATTAAAATTATAACACCTTAAAAGAATCCTTCCTAACAAGTGAAGAACATCCTAGGATTCTTTTTCCTTGAGAACCCATTTTGTGATCCATCTGAGAAAAACCATTAAACCTGCTAGAATAATCTTCCAGAGAGACAGTAATAAGGTATTAAGAAGTAAAGTCGTGAGGCTGTTGTTATCTTCTATATACCCTGGCTTCTATATACTGTGGAAATCAGTGGCACAAAAGTTGATAGTAAAACATCAGCTGGTAAGAAGTGACGAATGAAATACCATTTAGTCTATGGAAATTAAAACTTTCTAATAGCAGGGAAGCCCTGGTTTAAGCCAAAATTCAGAATATGAAGGTAAAGATCAGAATTTCAGTCATTCCTACCCTAGACTACCTTAAGATACATAACTTTTTGAAGCAGCACAGAATATCAAATCAAATAAAAGTAGTACTAGGGGTGGGGATAGGTTATATATAGGTTTCATTCCCAAAGTCGAAACAAAAATATGCATTTTGAGGGGGCTAATCCAACTTTTAATGTTTTGAAAAAAACATTTAAAAACAGAAGTGCTAAAAAAAATAAAAAATAAAAACAGAAGTGCTCTTTTAATGGGCTGGAGAAAGCATCCATATAATCCAGAAATCATTTTAAAAGGTGTTTGTTCCATTCAATGTCATCCATCACTAACCAATTAGGTTTTGGGGTGTGTGTGTGTGTGTGTATTTTTTTGTGGGGATGGGGGTCGGGTGGGGTACCAGGGATTAAAATTAGGGGGTTGGGTGAGGTACCAGGGATTAAGATTAGGGGCACTCAATCACTGAGCTACATTCCCAGCCCTGTTTTGTATTTTATTTAGAGACAGGGTCTCACTGAGTTGCTTAGCATTTCTCTTTTGCTGAAGCTGACTCTGAACTCTCCATCCTCCTGCCTCAGCCTCCTGAGCTGCTGGGATTATAGGTGGCCCCCGTGCCCAGCAGATTTTGGTATATTTTTGCCTTAACTATAAAATGCTGACTGAAGGTCACAGTAACAAGATCATTTCTCTTAAGATGTGTGTAACTTGTGAGATTCATTTTCTAAATCTGATATGCAGATTAAAAACAGTAAGAAAAAATCAAAACTTACACTTTTTTTTGCACAATCAACTCTAATAACTGGTTCACATTGACAAAATTATGAAACAGTAACTCCATATTCTTTGTACAATAAATAAAAATGTAAACACAAATATTACAATACATAAATAGAAGCTTTATACATCCAAAATACAATACATATATAAAATATATATCTAAATTTAATGACACTACAAACTATAATTTTCACTATAAATTACATATTTCAATGTAGAAATATATTTTTCTGACATTTTAAACTTCAAAAACAACTTGTAAGGTGATAGTGTGGAGAACAGTTTTATATACAAAGCTTTGTAGTAGTTAATTATACCTAATAATGGAAGGGCATGACTGTGATAATATGAAGAAAAATATCTCAATTATGGCAAAAGTACTATTTGATTCAAAGATACAGGGTTCCATTTCTCGGTAGATGGTAAATACTTTTATTTTAAAAGAATTCAAAGGATTTTGAACATCCTGATGTTTTAAGCATCAACTCTATGGAGCAGACTGAGTCAAACTGAGGGCTTTTCATAGTCAAATTGCTATATTACCACCCCATTTCATTGCTTACAAAAATTATTTTTCCAAGGCAAAATGTATTTCAACATGTCTCAAAAGTTAATAAATATACCACATCCCAATATTCCAAAGCCTGTATGATAAAATAAACCTTCACTTTATATACATTAAAACTTGGCCTCATGTGTGTGTGTGTGTGTGTGTGTGTGTATAACTGGACAAACTAAATAACTTAATTGGAGTCAGAATTGAGGACATGTATTTCTCCACCCAAAGGGTGAAGAAAAGTTACAATGTTGCCTAAGAACACTTTACTAAGTAAGTGCCAGAAGGGCTGGAGTTAATACAGTACTGGTATCTGCCTATTTTATGCTTTTTGACCAGCTGTATTAGTTATTTAAGGAGAAGTTTTTAAATAACTATTATAGGAGACAGGTAATTTTAAAGCAACTTGAGAGAATTTATCTTTCTGAAAGTTGGTATGTAATGTTTATACACATATCTACAGTTATGTTAGGGAATTTCTGAAGTCCTTAGGGTAATTTTTCTTCTCAAATTTGCATAATCTTTCCAGTAAAGAGTACACATTGATTTAATATCTGTTATAACTGTACTTACTTTCAGAAAGCATACTTGTTCTGTAGATTATAAGGACACTGGTTTACAAATATAATCTGTATTTATATCTCATTTCTGTATATTCCATGCTATATAATAACTTTAACAGAGCATTTTGTTTCATATTTTATCCTTTAAATAAAGCCTGCTATGGGGGGGTAAATGTATACTCTGATTGAAATGTTATGTTTAAGTGTATTAGATATATATAGAGTATATAACAATTCAATTGCTACTGATCCACTGATACTTATTTTCTGTTTCATCTTTTTGGGCTCTTTGTTCTTCTCGGTGATTGGCAGCAGTCCAAAATGTGATTTTTTTGAGTACTTGTTGGAGAAGTTTAGGAGGTAATAGAGATATTTGGCTTTTTAAAATAATAGCATTTTTACCAATGCAGTCTAGGCATGACCTGTAAATAAAACATAACAGAATTATTAGTTGTTTTTTTAATATCATTTTTTAGTTGTAGATGGACATAATACTTTTTAATTAATTAATTTTTTGAGAGAGAGAGGAAAGAGACAGAGAGAGAGAATTTTTTAATATTTATTTATTTATTTTTAGTTTTCGGCAGACACAGCATCTTTGTTTTTATATGTGGTGCTGATGATTGAACCCAGGCCACACGCATGCCAGGCGAGCGCGCTACCACTTGAGCCACATCCCCAGCCCCTAATTTATTTATTTTTATGTGGTGCTGAGGATCAAACCCAGGGTCTCACATGTGCCAGACAAGTGTTCTACCACTGAGTTATGACCCCAGCCCAAATTATTAGTTTTCTAACCTGAAGATATAATATAAAATATTTACAGGTTTTTGTGTGTGTGTGTATGTGTTGGGGGGCAAGCAATCTATCACTGAACTAAACCCCTAATAAAAATCATTATAAAAATTTTACCTGACATTGTACTTCCTTTGTATTGTCTGGAACATAAGAGGATTTTTTTCCCCTAAACACTATAATAGTCATGTATTTTTATTGCAGAGAGATTGTATCTGACCCACATCCAATGGAAACCAAAAATATGTGTGTGTATACATAAATTTGATTCACACACACACATACTGGGGATTAAACCCATAGGTGCTCTACCACTGAGCTACACTCCCAGCCCTGTTTTAAATATAAATACATATTTTATATATTTATATAAATATATAAATATAAACAATGGGATGATCCCACAGTCCGTTAGATCACGTGATGTGAAAAGACTAATTGCGTCCTATTGTATCGCAATTACAGTAAGTATTAAATGTCTCCTGACTTCAAATAAAAAGAACATGTTGACTGCACTGTGGACAAGCAATTATGTCAAGATAACAGACTTCACATAGTAAACACAACTAAATTCGTGCTATATTTGAGTTCTGATATATTAAACTATGCTCAGCAACAAAAAGGAATATACCCAAGCATAGAGAGCACTGCACTCAGTATCATGGATGACACAAAGAAGCCAAAAGACTGGTGGTCACCTTTAGTTTAGCCTGAAAGGCAAGCCCATCTAGTTGTCTGCTGTTTTACTTTATCTCATTTCTATATTGATTCATTTCTGTCGCACCACCCTGGCCAAATTCAAACCATGGATAAAATGAGTCAATCATCTCTCTGTACCTGTGATCTAGCTGCTGAAGAAAACTGTTTCTGCAGATGTGTTACCTCTACATATCAGTTATAGTCTGAGCTGAGCATTACTCTGTTAAAAAATATCCTCGTTCAGCATCTTCTTGTAGTCATCTCAGTACCTTTTCAAATCTCCACCATCTTTAAGTTCATATCTTCACCTCTCTTTTTTCTTATCAGATGACCTCACTTTCAACTAAAACTTTCTCAATACCCTCTTCTCCAACCAATAAATATTTGTCTTTATACCCATACTTTCTTCCTTCTCCTCCATTTTTAAAAATATTTGTTTTAGTTGTAATTGGACACAATACCTTTATTTTATTTTTATGAGCTGCTGAGGATCAAACCCAGCACCCTGCATGTGCTAGGTGAGTGTTCTTCCCGTGAGCTACAACCCCAACCCCTTCCTTCTCCTCTATTTTAAAAGAAAAGTATCATTCCTGCAGTCAAGGCTAATTTGACTGTTTGCTAAAATTTACTTCCTTAAGACTATGCCAATTTTTCCTTCAATGTTTTGTGCTTCCAATAACTTAATCCCTAATGGCTTCTTCTCATCACTATATAAACAGATACTCCTCCTTTCTTATCCATGCCATTTCATTTCATTTCATTTCATGCCTTTCTATGTGGGCACTCAAATACTTCTTAATCCTTGTATATGAAGAACTTGCAAACTAGTTAGGGAAAGTAATAGTCACAGTAAAAGTTAAAATATTAGTATAAGCCATCATATTTATAGCAGTCGTTTCCAAACTTGTCTGCATATCAGAATTAACTTGAGATCTTTAAAATCAATCTCCAAAGTACAGGCCACACCCTACACCAATTAAACCAAAACGACTGGGGGTAGAACACTGGTATCAATAGTTTTTGAAGCTCCCCATGAGATTCTAATATGCAGACAAGTTTCAGAACTATCACACTAAGCCAAGGAGCAGTCAAGAAAGACCAAGAAATTTCAGTTTGAGCTAGTCTAATGTTTTTTCAGTGATTCAAGTTGAAGAACATTTGGAAGTTATAGTATACTCCTTGAAATACTGCATGTCATCTCTTTCTCTTTCTCAACCCCTCATATGCCTTCACCCATATTATTCTCACTGCATAAAATCCACATCTATTTGCTGGGCAACTTTGACTTCTTTTAAGTCCTTCTTCCCAACTGTCAATAGGCAGGAAAAAATAGGGGCTTTTCCTACAATCCTCCCAGAAAACTCTGTACATACATTTGTGTGTGTGTGTGTGTGTGTGTTTGTGTGTGTTATTGAGGATTGAACTCAGGGCTTTGCACATGCTAGGCAAGTGCTTCACCACTGAGCTATATCCCCATCCCTGTTTTGAAACTTGATTTTGAGACAGAGTTTCACTAAATTGCCCAGGTTGACCCTGAATTTGCAGTCCTCCAGCTTCAGTATTCCAGGTGGTTGGGATTATAGTCTACTGCATCAGCCTTGTATATTGTTATGGTTTAGATATTAGGTGTCTCCCAAAAGCTCATGTGTGAGAAAGTTTAGAGGTGAAATGACTGGGATATGAAAGCCTTAACTTTATCAGTACATTAACTCCCTAATAGGAATTAACTGGGTAGTAACTGTAGGCAGGTAGGGTATGGCTGCAGGTGATGGGTCATTGGGGGACATGCCTTCCGGTACACATTTTGTCCCTGGAAAGCAGAGCTGTCTGTCTCTGCTTCCTGGTGGCCATGTCCTGAGCTGCTTTCCTCTACCACATTTTTCTGCTATGATGTTCTGCCTCTTGTTGGGCCCACAGCAGTGGAGCAAGCCATCTGTGGACTCAGACCTCTAAAACTGTGAGCCCCAAATAAAGTATTCCTCCTCTAAAATTATTCTTGTCAGGTTTTTTGGTCACAGCAGCAAAAAAGCTGACCAAAACATACATTATCTATTTATATTTTTCTTTTTGTGCTATTAGTGCTCTACCCGTGAGCTATATCCCCAGACCTATTAACTAATTGATTAATTTTGATACAAGGTTTCAAGCTGTCTAGGCTGGCTTTGAACTTGTGATGCTCCTGCCTCAGCCTCCCAAGCAGCTGGAATTATAGGTGTGTGTCACCTTGACCAGCTACATACTCCTTTTTAGAGCAAGAACATATGAGCCAAGAAAGTATAAGTCATACCATCAATTTAATAATGGCTTTGAGGTTTAAAAAAATTCTGCTATATTAAATGTGTGAATGTATGTATGTGTGTGTGGTATATAGAGATACGATCAATATGACATATTCTGATTTTCAGAAGATAAAAATTTTAAGAAGGATTAGAATTAAGGAACTACAGTATGCTTAATATTACCAAATGAACTAAGAGCAATTTTATAAACAAAATAAAAAATGTGATTGTACTACATATTTTAATTTTTTTCTTTTCTTTCTTTTCTTTTTTTTTTTTTTTGGTACTAGAGATTTAATCCCAGGTGCTTTACTACTGAGCTATATCCCTAAGCCCTTTTTGTTTTTTATTTTGAGACAGGGTCTCACTAAGTTGTTAGAGCCTTGTTAAATTGCTAAGGCTATCCTTGAACTTATGATTCTTGTGACTCAAGCTCTTGAGCTTCTGGGATTACAGGTATGAACCACGATGCCTGGCTGTTTATTATAATTAAAAATAATAACACTGGTATATGATTTACCAACATAAATTTGATTTTACTATTAAAAAGACAAATATTTTCTTAGGTTCAAGTCATACAAACTACCTGAAAAATATATCTCTTCCAAAAAAGGAGGAAAAAGGAAATGATACATTCCTAGCATGTATATATAAAAATACTGGATTTGCTTACCTGAGTAGTGAATAAGGCTGTGTTTGAAAGATCAATAAATCATTACAGTGACCCTAAAACATAAGAAAGGTCTTATCAGGGATTTTTATAAAAATAACATTGAGTCAATAATATAATGCTTTATTGTATTTTACACATGTAAAAACATAGCATAAAGCAGCAAATAAATCTCTGACTGGTAACACATATACATATGCATGCACGCAAACAAGGATACCCTCAAATATACACATATATATGTACACATACACCTGCTATGCACAAACTTTGGGTATGTGGTTACCAAACTTCATTGGCCAAAATTCTACCTAATCAATAGCTTATAATTGCAAATTTAAAAATCAGAAATATGTTCTTTTCTGAGAATAGTGAGTTAAAAAGTGACACAAGTAGTGGTTTATAAACACTTTTTTTTTAACAAAAGCATTTTCTTCAAATTGCTCTTATTTTAAAAATCTCTGCTTTAGGGCTGGGGATGTGGCTCGGGGTAGAGTGTTTGCCTAGCATGCCCAAGGGCCTAGGTTCAATTCCCAGACCACACACACATAAAAAACAAACAAACAAAAAAGCAAAACTCTTCTTTATCCTATTTCGAGATAGTTCCTTTGAGGTGCTAGGGATCAAACCCAGGGCCCTTGCATATGCTAGATAAGTGCTGTACCACTGAACTAAACCCTTTAGCTCCCTTCCTGAGAATTATTAATTTAAAAATTAAGCAGCTGGGGTTGTAGCTCAGAGCTTGCCTAGTGCTTGTCTAGCATGTGTGAGGCACTGGGTTCAATTCTCAGCACTGCATATAAAAAAAAATAATAATAAAGATCCATTGACAACTTAAAAAATATTTTAAAAAATTAAGATCCTGAAGATTTTTTGAATAATGAGTCTTTCATCTAAAAGTTAATAATGGTAGAAGGGTCAACAGAAAATTTCTATAAATCCTTTCAAATAGATCTTTAGAATTTCATAATTTGTGATCCAGATTTTAGTTATAATTTAAACTTTGTCATCTAAAAGAAAAGAAGATTTCTAGTGACAAAAAAGAGAAGACAAAATATAAATTTGCCCCTCCCCTTTCTTTTGTGGTCTTGAGTATCGAACCCAAGGCTTTGCACAAGCTAGGCAAAAATTTTGCTATATAAGTACAAAATTATGGTTTTAATATTTTAAGTAATTAATTTCATTTCTGGTGGTAAAATCCAAGGGTGTCCTACTACTGATCTACATCCCCAGCAGTCCTTTCTTTAGTTTTCATTTTGAGACAGGGTCTTGCTCAAAGAAAAAAAAGAAAAGGCTCAAAGAAAAAAGCTCTTTGTAATAACTAATGAAATTAATAGACCTATTTGGATTTCTTTTTTTTTTAATATTTTATTTTTTAGTTTGTAGTTGGACACAATACCTTTATTTTATTTATTTATTTTTATGTGGTGCTGAGGATTGAACCCAGGGCCTCGCACGTGCTAGGTGAGCACTCTACCACTGAGCCACAACCCCATAACACAGACCCCCTATTTGGATTTCTAAATCCAAAAACTCTTGAAATGTTTTACAAAAGCCACTCATTCTTAGGATTAATAACCCCACAGAGTAACATTTTATATTTTGCAGTATTAGAATAGCAATATTCTTGTTGGGTAGTTATTTATTTTGAATAACATAATTCCAGAGGAAACATTTAGATATAAGATTTCTTACTGTATCCAAGGAAAGTAAATCATCTTTGCTCCCACCAAACACCATTATTTCGTTTTCTTTTCCCAAACAGGCTGTGTGCCATAACCTAAAATTGAAAATTATAAACAGGGTGAAATACAGGAAGAAACTGTACATTACATAAAGTCAATTATAAACTGTATACTCTAAAATTAATCCATTTTAAAACAGGCATGACTGAACTTGAACCTTTGGCATATCTTCAAAGGGGTTAGATTTTAAAGATATTTTTAGAGTTCTTTAAATTGTATCATTTTGATTAAGGAGGTGATTCCCAATAACTCTTTCTATTATATCCCCCAACCTTTTTTTTAACCCTTTTCTTTCATACATATTATCCTCAAAACACAATAAATTAAGAAGGAACTGACCCCCTTATTGCTGACAGAGGCACCTTTCCCAATTCTCTTATTAACATCTGCCATGTTACTGTTCTCATTACTTTTGCCTCTTTCTTTTCTGCTTATTCACATCACCTGACAAATCCAATGTGCTACTCTCTTCACATTTCTATTGTCAAATCATTCATCACTCTGGGTACAGAATACCATATGTTCCTTTTTTTTAAATCTCTAATCTCGGGCTGGGGATGTGGCTCAAGCGGTAGCGCGCTCGCCTGGCATGCGTGAGGCCCGGGTTCGATCCTCAGCACCACATACAAACAAAGATGTTGTGTCCGCCGAAAACTAAAAAATAAATATTAAAAAAAATTCTTAAAAAAAAAAAAATAATAAATAAATAAATAAATAAATCTCTAATCTCTCTAGCTACATATATCTAATAAATAATACTTTTCAAATACTTTTTTACTATCTGACCATTAAGAATTTTATTGACTCATATTTGTACATATTTATGAGGTATGAGATATAGTATAATAATTCAATATATGTACACAATGTGTAGTGATCAAATAAGGATAATTAACATTTCTATCTCCTCAAACATTTATAATTTCTATGTGTTAGGAACCTTCAGACTCTTCTAGTTATTTTGAAATATCTTGTAAATTGTGTAAAATATAGTTAGCATGGGAATTTCCTGATTAGGAAGCATCTGTGCTGCCAACTCTTTTTTCTAGCCTAATATTTTATGATCAGTCATTATTTCTTTTTCCCCCAAATGTTAATTCTTGCCTCTCCCCAGTGAGTCCTCTATTTCAACCAACTCTGCTTCCTTGCTTACCCTAAGGAAAAAACTTATATTCACTTCCAGGCTTTTGTTTGCCGTCCCCCCCACCCCTTTTTTTTTCTTTTGTGGTGCTGGGGATTGAACCCAGGGACTTTGTACACAAGCCCTCTACCAATTGAGTTATATCCCCAGCTGTTGTTTGCCCTTTTTCCTAAGCCTAGAATAAGTCATTTTCTCTGGGCCTTAAAAAAACAGGCTCAATATGAAGGAAGTGTTTCAAATAATCCATCTAACTGGTTTTGCTGCCATTTCTGATCAGCATCTTTCAACATTTACATGTTTATTTTGTGCTCTACTAACTCACATTTGAAGATTAATTGCTCTATATACTACTTTAATTGTCTTCCAGCTCCCTAAAAAGACCATGAGGTCTGTGAGGTCAGAAATTGCCACAGTGGTATGTTGAAACAGGCTCACTGGCTAGGTGAACCAATTGTGCATATCTTCATCCAGCTCAGAATCATTTTAATATCTTGAAATCAGCTATAAAGGGAGTATTTACACCTGTAGTAATCAGCAAAGGCTATACATTAGGTGCCTCAACTTTGAGAGTAGTTGTAACTGTATGCCAGCAAACCACTGAAACTCGGGTATGCTAATTTTATGCTTCTTTAAAAAAATATCCAATATGGTATTCTGTACCCAGTTGGTGCTAAAAAAAAATCTTAATTAGCAAAAGCAAACACAAAATACTGATATAATTTATTCAGTGATTAAATATGCAAATTATTTCATAAAGGAGTAGAGCAATTAATGTTCTTTTGTAAATGGTCTGATAGCTCATGTCCATCTCCAATTTTACATTATTTAACAAGAAAAATTTTATAGTTTATTTATAAAGTTCATAATTTCCAAAAGCTCTACCTCTCAAAAATCTCAGAGTACATGCAGATTCTCAATTTCACATGAGAAACTAAGGATTTTACAAAATCATTGCTTTGACTCATTACTTTTTTATTTTTGGTGGTGCTGGGGATTGAACACATGGCCTTGTGCATGCAAGGCAAGCACTCTACTAACTGAGCTATATCCCCAGTCCTTATTACTTTTCTTAATAGACCAAATTGCTAGAGTAATAGATACCCAAAACAATTATATATTGTCATTTCTTTTATTACCATATCACTTATTTTTTAGCATATTAATCCCTTTTACTTAAATTCTGCACGTGCAAACAGTAGGAGTATGTACAATTTGTTAAGCCACATATTTTCCTCAATCATGCCATAGCCAATGACAAATGCACTTGGGACCCAGGATAAATCAAGTTATTAGATATGTTCTTTTGGAAATACTTGCTCAGTTCTCCAAATTATATGTTAGAATGCAAATTGGCATAAATTCTCAACAAGAACCCAAATTATGTTGTGGGTTTGGAGAGGATTAGAAGAGAGATTAGGTAAAAGAAATGGAATATAATGAATGCCCCATATAAGGAAAGGAATAGATTAATTTCCTAGAGAGACAGCTATGTATATAATGGCCTTGGCAATACTCATGGGATCCAGCAGAGCTTTTGGCTCTCTACACCAACACTTTATCTCGTATCTTTTACAGACACATAAAAAAGGTTCTTTGCTGACAACCACTTATATGGGTTATTAGGTATGGATTTACAGATGGTCTTTGAACCAGGCATAGTTTTATCTAAGGTAAGGCCTGAAGATAGTGTTATGCTGTAGAACAGTGGTTCTCAACCAGGGGTAACCTGTCCCCCAAGGAGACTTTTGACAACACCTGTAGATATTTTTGGTTGTCATCACTTGGGGAGAGAGAAGGCAGTGCTACTCACATCTAGTGGGTAAAAGCTAAGGATGCTGTTAATCATCTTGCAATGTACAGGACACCCCTAACAACAATTATTGAACCAATTATTTGGTTCAAAATGTCAATAATGCTAAGATTAAGAAGCCTTGTCTCAGAGTTCTAAGAGGATAATTGGGCAGCTTACATTTCAAATTATATCTTGGAAAAGTTTGCACAAAATGCATTTAGATGTTAATTGTCACTTTCATAAAAATTAGTAAACACACACACACACAAATATATATATATATATATATGTTCTCCTTACACTCAACTGTATCCCACCTGTTCTCCTCCTCACCTCATACCTGAAGATAGATCTGCCTCTGTCTTATCTGCCTTATGGAAACTCTGGCCTGGATTTCATCATCGAAGAACACTGGAAAGCCTTTCCTGCCTTGATTTTGGTGACATCTAGCTTGGAACCTGATGTTTTTTCTATAGACTGATAGTATATGTCCTCTCACAGCTGCTCTAAACTTATCACCTAAACATTCTAATAAAGCATATTATTTACATGACACATCAACTGAATCAAAAGAAATCTCTTTACATAGCTCTAGTTCTAACTAGTATATTATTGATAATAGTTGTGTTGCTCTAATTATTAAGAATTGAAATATAAAATAGGAGCAATTTAAAAATTAAACATTTTTACTACCACTTTGGTCTATAATTAACATATTTATAAAATCAAAAATTAGGAGAAACTTAGAGATCATCTAGTCCAACTCCTTTATTTCACAGATGAAGAAATTGATGCTCAGCTTCTTTAAGTGACTTTTTAAAGCCAAAAAACTAAGCAGTAACTGAGCAAGGACTAGAAATCTGGGTCCCCATATCTTAATATAAAACTCTTTAAATTAAACAAATATATTTTTAAAAAGCCACAATTGTTAAAATAATAAATTCCAATGAATTTTATACATGAAAATAAAATAATCAAATATGTAAATATAAGTTATAGATTATAAGTATATTGATAGATTATAAATATATAGTAAATATTAACATAGATATACATACCAAAATATATATAAATATTTTAAGTCTTTTTCTCAAAAAAGTTACTTAAAATTATCATTTATTAAATAACAAAAATACATATCATTAATTTGACTGCACACTAACATAAATCATCTATAGTTAAAAAATCTGAAATACATGGCACGGAAAGGCATAAAATTTGTTACTGACTACAATGATAATTATGTGCTGAATCTGAATTTCCTATGAAGATATTTTTTATTATACTATTCAACCAAATTTGAAAAAATAAGAAATACAATACTACTGTGGTTTCTTTAATATAATAATAGTATACTGTTCCTATAATTTTTATTATAATATACTACAAATATCTAACATTTTCTTTTTCAAAAAATTCACATTAATAAATACATTAGACCAGTAATCAAAATAATAATTTGCCATCTACTAAATCAATATGAAATCAAATTTCCTCATTAAATTTCTTTAAACTTCTAAAAACAAATTACTACTATTAAAGCCAACCCTATTCCTATCTACTGATTAAAAATATTAACATTAAAATATTAAAATTATGAGATATTTTAAATTATCTTTTTCATATTTATCAGGCAAGATTTCACATTTACCTAAAAGAATAACATTTTTAAATATGCAAATATGGATAAAAACTAGATAGATTATTTTTAACAGTCAGATATAATTAAAATGATATTTGAATTATATAACATAAAGCTCATGTGAAAGATATCATTCTGAATGTTTTATGATTTCAGTGGCAAACAGTATAAATTGAGTGCTTTATCTTAATACTTTAAAAATTCTTAATTATTTTACTACTTGTCAACTACTAGACTTACCTGGGTCTTGTGTTAGGTAAATGTATAAGTTGTTTCCAACAATTTGTTATTGTATTATGAATCCAACCATCACCTGAAATATTATGACAGTTTAATTAGTCCTCTGGATACAATTTTAATTTTTTCCATATTTATCATGTTACATTTATATGATTATCTTTCCTGTGTGTGCATATCTTTTTCATAAATATTTCAAACACACACAAAAGTAGAGTGATCTACCTCCTAGATGCAACAACTATCAAGGTTTTGAGCTGGTGGTGTAGCTCAGAAGTAGTGTTTGCACTTATTATCACCTGCAAAACCCTGGGTTCAATCCCCAGCATTAATCCATCAAAAAAAAACTGTTTTGCCAAATGGGTTCCATTTATCTCTGTTATTCTTATTGTTGAATTCATAATAAATCAAATCCTATATCTCCTATCATTTTCCCCAAACACACTTCAGTATGATTGCTTAAAAAATGAACACTCTACATAAGCACAATGCCATTATCAGTCAATAGAGGATAATTCTTCGGTATCCATATGATCAGATCTTAAACTTAATTGATGACAGAGGAAACTGACTAGACTAAAAGTTAAGATATTTAATTCCCATAGTCAATGACCAAAAATAGCAAATAGGAATTAAAAACTTTAGATCTCGTGAAGTTAACGATGTTAAACAACCTCTAGCAAAATGTACATCTTAATTTTTATTATATTCCAACTTTCTTTTAATTAAAAAGCTCATAAATTGGAGAAAAAATAATCTGCAAGAATATTACCATCTCCTACCAGGAATTGTTATTTCTCCAACCAGCTCTAAAATTAGGTGGCCCACACTCCCCGCTAAATGCATCACTGATACGAACATCTCCTGTTGAAAAATAGTTGTTTCCAGATTCCATATAAAATTATACAAATTATTTTAGTGTTACATAGGTTTCTTTTTTTAGTATATTTTTGTAGTTGTAGATGGACAAAATGCCTTTATTTTATTTATTTTTATGTAGTGGTAAGGATTGAATCCAATGCTTCACACGTGCTAGGCAAGTGCTCTGTCACTGAGCTACAGCCCCAGCCTATATAGGTTTCTTGATAAAAACATCTTTAGCCATAGAAAACTTCTGAGTTAAGAAAATACAATACATCCAACACCTCAAACCAAGAGGTGAATATTCTTGGTCACTCATCTACCCTGATGCCACAATTTTACTGCTTAAAGAAAAACACAATTAAAAAACCCATAGCTATTAGGATCAGCAGTGAAAGGAGTTAACAAAATTCTGCTAATACTTTCCTTTATAATTCTATAACAAAAGAGAAAAAACTGGCTTTCCACTTTGTATTTCCAGAGCCTTCTAGGAAGGCTGGTCTTCTAATCTCCATTCCAGCCTATAGTATAAGCATCTGGATCAAAACCCAGGAGGACACAGAATCACAGAATACTACAGTGGTAAGGGGCTTTAATTCAGCTAGATTCACCCTTTTCTTCTTTTCTTAAGAAAAGAAGAAGTACATGAAGATCCAAGGATATTGAAGCAGAGAGCTTCTCTTCCCAATTAAAAAAATTTTTTTTTCAGCTGTAGATGGACAGCATGACTTTATTTTATTTGTGTTAAAGATTGAACCCAGTGCCTCACACATGCCAGGCAAATGTTCCACCACTGAGCTATCTCACCTCTTTTTTTCAATTCTTAATGCAATGCAAGCATGAAGTTAGGGATAAAGAAAAAAAGGAAGACTTAACTTCACTTTAAGCATGAAATAAAATTAAGAAAAAGGAATGAGAGGATATTTTATATGCTTAACTTTAACTGACTTACTTAATGGAATATTATCTGCACTTAGTCCTCCAAATAGGAAAAGTTTATCATCAGCTATTGGTGTTAAAGTATGCCATGACCGATGTTTTGGACTTTCTCCATTAATAGAAATCCTATGACAAGAGAAAATAATTAAATTTAATTATTTTAATTAAATTTATTTTATTTCAACTGCATTAGTCAAAATAAAGTTTTATTTATTTGTTTGTTTATTATTATTTTGGGGGTAACTGGGATTGAACTCAGGGACACTCAACCACTGAGCCACATCCTATTTTGTATTTTTTTTAGAGACAGGGTCTCACGGAGTTGTTTAGTGCCTTGCTGTTGCTGAGGCTGGTTTTGAACTCTCAATCCTCCTGTCTCAGCCTCCTGAGCTGCTGGAACTGCAAGCATGTGCCACAGCACCCGGCAAAATAATAGGTTTTTAATCATCTCAGAGTGTTTATAAAACATTCTTAAGTTCTTAGATAAACTTGAACAATTTATTTCCACTTAATGTCCATTTCACTTGTTCATAGAACAAAGAGTGAAATTAAATTTCAATTTCCATTTAATTCACAATGCATATTTAACATCACTTTTGTTGATTAATAAACACACTTTCCCATTTTTTGACACAATTATTTTCATGTCTCTTATTTTTTTTTTACTATTGTTTCATGTTTAATTTTGTGTTTTTAGCTGGTTTCCACATGCTATTGTTTTTACTCTGGTCTACTTGTTGTATAAGTTCCGAAAGCATTATCTTCCCCTGAAAATACTAGCTACTTTACCTTCAAAATAAAAGTATGCATGCCATTGCAGATGCAGGATAAAACTCTAAAATTTTCAAACCAATAAACTCTTCTTTAATAAAACAGAAACATAAATAAAAAACATAAACAAAAGCTGGAAGCAAAAAGTTTTAAAACCAGGAGAAAAGAAAACACTATTCTTCAGCATTCTGGAATGCGCCATAGCAACATGGGCCAGTTTTAGAGAATGTAATTTATTTTTTCCAAAAAGAAATATTTTTATTGTTTTTAAAAATTATTATTAGAAACACTTTGGTCATAAAGCATTTAACAACCACTAAAATACTTTTTAAAAAGGAGAATTCTCTTATAATCTTGTATCCCACCAATAAGAAATAATATTAATTTGGTATATCTCTTTAAGACTTTAATGCATATATTTATTAAAAGTACATACATGGGAGCATATAATCTGTTCTGTAACTTTTTTATCTCAAATAATATGCTGTATAATATTTCTGTAAAACATGGTTTCCTTTGGTATTGGAAGCAAAACAGCCCACTGGGCAAGGTATCATGATTTAAACAATCTCTACTTGCAGACACGAAAATTAATTTCAATTTTGGCTTTTATTAATAATGTTGAAACATCTTTTAACTATGTACACATGTTCACACACATACACATACCCTTGTCATTGTTTTTGGAAAAATATGAATCAAAGAAATTATATACACACACACAGACACACACACACGCACGCACGTACACACGTATGTCTTTATATATGTGCAATTATATGTGTATGTGTATTTTTTTTCAGGTAGTGGAGATTGAACCTAGCACCTTGTACATGCTATGGAAGCAATCTCTGAGATATATCCCCAGCCCTTTTCATTTTGAGACAAAGTTTCACTAAATTGTCCTGGTAGCCTCAAACTTGTGATCCTCCTGCCTCAGCCTCCGAAGCAGTTGAGATTTCCATTTTATATTTTAAACATATTTTCAGGCTACCTTCCAAAAAAAAGTGCCCCAATTTGTACTACCAATTATGTTGTTACATTCTACCACACACTGTCATAATTATTTTTATCTGATAAGAGAAAACTTACTTTTATTCCCTTTTCTTTGATAATCTATGTAAAACCAGTAATTTTACATAATCTATTTTCTTTTTTTAAAATATCTTTATTTCACTTATTTATTTTTATGTGGTGCTGAGGATCAAACCCAGAGTCCCGCACTTGCAAGGCAAGTGCTCTACCGCTGAGCCATAACCCCAGCCCACATAATTTATTTTCAACTGTTAGTTTTTTCTTTCTTTTTATGGTACCAGAGATTAAACCCAGAGACACTTAACCAATGAGCCACATCTCTAGGCCTTTTAATTTTTTCCTTTGAGCCAGGGTCCCTGTTATGTTGCTTAGGGCCTGATTAAGTTTCTGAGGCTGGCTTTGAACTTGTGATCCTCCTGCCTCTTAAGCCGCTGGGATTATAGGCATGTGCTACTGTGCCTGGCTCAACTGTTAGTATTTTCATGTTTTATATAGTTCAGTTAAAGAACAAGTTCTGTTTACATCTGTATATTCCTTGCTTAGACATATAATCTGAAAAACAAATACCAGTTCAATTTTAGGAACACAAATTTGGATTATGGCTGGACACACACATACACACACACACACACACACACACACACCTACAGATTAAAACATACTAAAATTTCAAACTTACCTTCCAGACCAAGTCCAGGTGTCTAAGTTTAGATAGTGCAAGTCATTCATCCTAGTTTGCTAAAATAAAAATGTTAAATTGGACAGTGTTTTATATCTTTTATGGTCTAAAATATTAATTGTTGCTTTTTGTATGAGGGATAGAACTCAGAGGTGCTTAACCACTGAGCCACAGCCCCATCCCTTTTTTATTTGTTCCTTTGAGACAGGGTCTTCATAAGTTGCTGAGGATGACTTTGAACTTGTGATCCCTCCTGCCTCAGCCTCCCGAGCCACTGGGATTACAGGCGTGTATCACCACACCCGGCTTAAAATGTTAGTTTTAGATTAAAAATAGACTATATCTGTCCTACTCAACATCAGAAATTTAAATATTGGGAAATAATGCAAAGCATTAATAAAATTAATATGAGCTCCCAAATTAATGTGTCAAAGGGCAAAGGAAGAAATGGGTTTAAACTAACAGGGTTTAAATTATAAAAAATTAAACTTTTCTGAAACTGGACTGAAGTGAAGGATTTTCCTCATTAAAATATGATTTATAATCATCTGTGATTGCTTGTATATGGCCTGTTTTGAAAATAAAAGATAAATAAAAGTTATTAAATGTCATTTTAGTTTCTAGATTATCTGAATATTCCATTGTTCCACAAAATCAGTGGCTAATTTTTATAACAAGTACCACACATAAAAATACCATTTCCATTAAAAACACTAACCAAAACACGTCCGCCAAAGACATAACCCTTATTTCCAAGAACTGCACACGTATGCGCGGCTCGTGCCTGTGGTGGAACTCCACCCTGCAAGCAGAGATTAGAAGAGTACAAAGACTTAAATCATCTGTAATATAGTCACATTCCAATGCTTAGTATGAGACACACCTGATCAGTAAGCTATCCATACCTATGTAATTCAATTAAAAACCCTACACAGAAGTTCATTCTAAATAATAATATAGGCAAATACAATTCTTTAAGAATAAAATTTACTCTTCCTGATTTTAATGTGCTATTCTAAAATGTCAGACATTATTAAACAAAATAAAATTCACATAAATTTTGGATCGAAACATAAGACCATAAAAAAAATCAAATTAAAAATTCTGTCACATATACACTCAGTCTCTCTCTCTTTCTCTCCGTCTGTCTGTCTGTCTCTCTCTCTCTCTCTCTCTCTCTCACACACACACACACACACACACACAGAGTTAAAATTTGAAGTGAGCACTGTATAGTGGGTGATCTCAGAGCCTAAAAAATTAAATATGATCTCCAAACTCCTCAAATTCATAAGAATTTCACTATTGCCTTGTCAAACAGTACTTTATTGCTTCCTAAAACTCTTAACACTAAATAACTGTTCTCTACATTTTACTTTGAAAAAATAATAGATCTTTTCTTTAGAAAAGTTCTTAATTGGTGGTAAAAGAGAGAATGGGTAGATAAATGAATAAGATTTTAAGGAAAAGGAGCTGGGGATGTAGTTCCGGGTAGAGCCTGTTCTTAGCATGTGTAAGGCTTTGGGCTCAATTCTCAGTATGAAAGACAAAAAGGTAGGGCTCAGATGTGGCTCAGCGGCAGAGCGCCTGCCTAGCATGTGTGAGGCACTGGGTTTGAACCTCAGCACCACATATAAATAAATAAAAAATATAGGTACATTAACAACTAAAAAGTATTTTTTTTAAAAAAGTAAGAAAGGTAGACATACAGAAGGAAGAAAGGGAGGGAGAGAAATTTGAAGGAAGAATAATTTGAACAATTCTATGTGTTTATGAATTTCCCCAAGTTATGCTAAAGCTTCTACTTATTTAAAAGAATCAGGTATCAGTGATTAATGATGTAAGAAAAGAAATTATCCTGCAACTCATGAAAGCAATTACCACTAGATGAAAGACCCTCCTCCAACTGAATCCAAATCTATTGAGTGAAAATACATTTTTTTTCATAGTGTCAGTTTTGGCAAATTGGTAGGTCCTAAAATGAGAAAGATTAGGTTCATTATTTCTAAGCCTTACAGGCCATACTAAACTAAAGGCAAATGTAAGGAGTGATTATATTTTTACCCAAGATGCATTATGAACATTTTCAGCTCACTGGCTACTAAATGCGGACATGGAAAATTTAAGCTCTACATCCAACACCATAACTTACTATTCATTTTAAGATTACCTGAATACCTGTTTCAACTTGATAAGAAATAATTCAGATTTCACCTATATAACACTTAAGTAAATGAAAGAGAACCATTGGAGAGTTTTGGTTTCTAGCCCTTCTATCAAAACAAAGCTTTTATTATTATCCCATCACAGAAGCTCCAGGTTCTAACTTATTTTCTAAGGAAATAGAGGGTTAAGAGGCCTCAAAGAGATCTAGGATTAGTTTCAGTAAACTTAGATCCACTAATATTTGTCTCCACCTACCTGCTGACAGGAAATCTTAACAGAGGTAAAACTCTCTTACTCCATTAATAAAAAACCCAAATCTTAAAATTCAAATGCTGATTGAAGCAAAATTCAATCTTCAACTATAAATAACTGACAGCTGATTAGTTCTACAATTAGAAATGTAATGAAGAGAACAGAAAAGCACTGGAAACCTGAAATTTACTGCCTGGAAAGAGATTGCAGAGAAGGTCAAATTCTATAACACTTAATATTGTAGCACTTTCCATGATTTTCACCAACAGAAGTTGGACTGTGAAAACTTTTAGTCACTTGTGCATACTAATAGACAATGTTAGTTTTGCCTGCTTAGCATTCCTTTCTGTTCACCCTAGGATGTGTAAAGCCTTGGGCTCAATTACACCTTAGTATGTGTAAGGCTTTGGATATTGAGCTTATCAATCATAATACCCTGCTCTCCCTGGGGTGGACACAGCAAGTTATCCCCTTGGTAACAGGGGTCCTATAAAGAGTAGGGACAATACCAGGTAGAACCAGAGTCTTCTTCTAAGACTAATTTACAGGCAATGAGAGAGCATTATACCAAGAAGTACTGGCATAGCCAGGGCCCTGTTCTCTCCTAAATGGCCCCAGCTGTTCTGCAGTAGCTGTAGCGAAACAAGAACACAAAAAGGGAAAAGCAGACACAAAGAGACATGAAAAGTATTATGATGGTGTTGAGAAATGTGCTCCAGTTCCTGGTGTGCTGGTCTGTGTAGGATGTGTGAGCCACTCCAAATTGCTTAAACTAATTTAAATTTGTGCTTGGTTACTAGCAAATGAAAAAACAAGGATAATGTATTTTTGTCATGCTGTAATTGTATGTTGCTCTGATTTTAAGGGTTTATAAAAATGGTGTTTAAAATCATGGGCTTTGTAATACAATGACTTTTTAAAAGAATTTTTATCAAATTAGGGCATGTTACTTGTGGGTAAAGAATGATGACAGAAACAAAAAGAATCACAATGGCATCTCTTTAAAAGATTTTTTTTTTCTAGAAAATCTTATCTGATCTGGAGAAATTTTTTTTTCTCTTTCTTTTTGGTGACACTAGGGATTGAACATATGATCATTCAGCCTCTGAGTTACATCCTCAGTTCCACCTTTTTTTTTTTTTAATTGTAAATTTTCAGACAAGGCCTCACTGAGTTGCCCAAGCTGACCTGGAACTTGAGATCCTCCTACCTCAGCCTCTTGAGTTCCCAGGATTACAGATGCATGCCACCTCACCTGGCTATATATGATTTTCTTTTAAATGGTGTTGGTGACAGATTCAAGATAACTACTTTGTATGTGATTATAAACCCAATTGATAAATCCAAATAACTGAGTTTTTAAAAGATTTAAAATGTATCAATGAATATATGAATATGAAGGATACTTTTTGCAACACTTACTTTAATTTCTGGTTGAAACCAAGTCAGTGTTTTTGTATCAAATACATGGACATCATTATGCCATCCCCAGAATATTTGTTCTTCCTAAAACAGAAATTTTAAAAATATCTGAAAGCTTTTATAATTTTTACATTATTGTTACAGCTTGGCACATATTTACTAGTAAAATAAAAATAAAAAACATTTACAACAATGGAGTTAAGTGTTATCACAGTCATCGAGTTAATGCACACACCAGTGTCCCAAAAAGTATGGTGTTCAGACAAGTAGTAACATCACGGGACAACTTTTCTTCTCATATAATTGCTTGCTTGCAGTGAATCATAATTTTATTTGTAGACAATTTTTACATTTTCTCAAAGGATTGTCTTTTTTAAAATTTTGAGGACAAGCTGACAGTAGCACATATTTGTGATCTCAACCTTTGGGAGGTTGAGGCAGGAGGATTACTTCAGTTCATGGGTTCAAAACCAGCCCGGGTAACATTGTGAGATCCCATCTCAAAAAAATAACAACAACAAAAGCCAACCAAAAAATAATTGGACAGAATGGATTTATACAGGACAGAATGATTTTATACATCTTGGAACCTTTTTTCCTTAAAACACATGCTCAAAGCCTAATTAATCCTTGCCATAATAAATTATATAGATTATACAGGTTATACAGGGCTATACTTTTTCCAAAAAGTTCCAATCACTTCTAATCCACCAAGCAATTTATTCTTGTGAGTCAAACTTATGCTTTTTGCTTATTGTCCTTGTTATCTTCTTCTTTTTCCTTCTTATTGATGGTCCTGGGGACTGAATCTAGGAGTACTTTACCACTGAGTTACATCCTCACCCCTTTTTATTGAAACAGGGTCTTTCTAAATGGACCAGGCTGGCCTTGAACTTTCAAGCCTCCTACCTGTCTTCCAAATAGCTGAGATTACAGGGGTAAGGTACTACACCTGTATTATTTATCTTTTTGTTGTTGTTGTTTTGTTACCAGGGATTGAACCCAGTGGTGCTTAACAACTGAGCCACATCCACCAGCTCTTTTAAATTAATTTTTTTTTTAGTTGTTGATGGACCTTTATTTATTTATTAATTTATATGTGATTTTGAGAATCGAACCTAGTACCTCACCCATGCTAGGCAAGTGCTCTACCACTGAGCCACAACCTCAGCCCGTCTTTTAAATTTAATTTTTTTTTTTTTAAATTTTGAGACAGTGTCTCGCTAAGTTGCTTAGGGCCTTGAAAAATTGCTGAGGCTGGCTTTGAACTTGCAATCCTCCTGTCTCAGTCTCCCAAATTGCTAGGATTACAGGCGGGCACCACCAAACCCAGCTTCATGTATCTTTGATAGGACTTATCAAGTAAGTCAAATAAACCAAACAATTTACTTAGATTAGAATCCAAATTTAAAGATCTAGTTGTTCTCCAGAAACTTCAGGACATGTTCATTAGGTTAACTGTACTAGGGGAGGAAAAACAATTGAGTTCACCAATGAGTAAAGATAACTAGGTGTAAATAATAGTAAATTATATTCTTGAAAATTATTAATAATATTTTGAATAGCAGAGTTTTAAAAATATTTCATTTTAAAAATTCAAATATGCAGAAACATGGAGAATTAAAGATACCTATATACATTTACATTGAAAATGTAGAATGATAATAAAATTCAAAAGAAGGTAAACTGAAAAGAGTTATTGTGTATCTTTTGGTGGTGAGAACAATTTTTTTTTCTTTTGCAATACTGGGGATTGAACCCAGGGGTACTTTATCATTGGGCCACATACTCAGCCCTCTTTATTTTTTCTTTTGAGACAGGATTTTGCTAAGTTGCTTAGGTCCTTGCTAAATTTCTGAGGCTGGCTTTGAACTTGTGACCCTCCTTCCTCATCCTCCCGAGGTGCTAGGATTACAGATGTACTACCTCCCCCAGTTCATTCTTATGTAGAAGCCAGTCTGAGCTATGAAAAATTCTGGTGTGTGTCCAATAGGAGGCTTGTCAATAATAGCCATTTTGGTTAAACATAAACAAAAAACAAAATTCCCCCAAGTTAGGTTAAAGCATCTATTTATTTAACAGAAACAGGTATAAGTGATTAATGATATTAGAAAAAAATTATTCTGCTGAACACGGTGACACACGTCTGATGTTCTCAGCAATTTGGGAAGCTGAGGCAGGAGTATAGCAAGTTTGAGTCCAGCTTGGGATACTTACTGAAACTCTGCCTCAAAATAATAAATAAAAAGGGCTGGGGGTGTAGCTCAATAGTAAAGCATCCCTAGGTTCAATCTCTAGTACTGAAAAAAAAAAAAAAGAAGAAGAAGAAGAAAGAAAAATTAGTGAGAGGAACAATGAAAGTTATTATCAAAATATGAGAGATCTTCCTTGACTGAATCCAAATCTATAAGAGTAAAAATACATTTTTTCACATAGTGTCAACTGGTAGCTCCTAAAATGAGAAATATTAGGTTCATTATTTCTAAGACTTACAGGCTATGCTAAATTAAAAGCAAATGTAAGGAGTGATTACTTTCTTACCCAAGATGCATCATGAACATCAAAACAGTCTTGAAGTTCATTGTGTCTCCTGCACCCATAACCACCAAAATATATTAATCTGAAAAACAATACAGAGGGACACACTTTTGGTTTGCTTCTCATTTGTTCATTGAAATAGATCTTTTCTCTCACCCTAAGAACCTAAATAAGCCAAATAAATGACAAAAGTATTGTATTAAAAATAAAAAAAAACTAAATCAAAGAGCTGAGAGAACAGAGATCTAAATGAACCAATTTCAGAAAATGATGAGCTCTCAAACAGCAGAGACCCACAGCTGCATTCATCCAATGTGTAACAGGAGGAAATAGAAACAAATACACACAGAGATTATAAAGGGAAACCACTCATTGTATTAACAGGTACATGTAGGCTGGCATGGCAAATTAGAATCTTAAAAAACCCAGCTGCAGAAGGAGTTGGAACCCTTTTTTTCTTTTTCTTTTTTTTTTTTTTTTTTAGTTTTTAATTTCCACACCTCTTTTGCAAACTTCTAAGGATGGCCCAGGATCAATTATCAAAAGCTGGAAGCAGGAGGTGGGGGTGTAGCTCAGTGATAGAATGCTTGCCTGGCATTCAAAATGCCCTGGGTTCAATCACCAGAGGTGGGGGTGTGTGGGAGAGCCAGAAGAAGAGGAGGACTGCTGAGCAAACCTGCTTGAGGCAATTTCAGCTTTCAACTATTAAAGTTTGGGATCTGGACAGGAGATTTGAAAGAAACACCTGAGAGGCATGCCAAGACTATACCACATAGGGTGTTCACTCCAAAGGTCAGGGGAGGAGATGAAAAGCTGATCTCTTTCAAATTGCAGAAAGCCTGAGTGGGATACCAGAGCAAAGAGAACTTCTTAGGGACCCAAGGACCTACCAACTGGTTTTAAAACATAGATCTCTCATAGTTTTGAGAGGTAGGGATGCAGCTGAATGCAGCTGAATGCAGCATAGCTGAAATCTTCAGTTCTTAAATATGGGTCTCTAATGAAAGACCTGCCCTGCCTCAAAACATTTTAAGCCACTGGTAAAAATGGATAAAACTAAGGCTACAACACAGCCCAAACACAGATCAACTACAGATTAGCCTGACTTATGTCCCATTCTAGCAGTCTAAAAAAAGAAGAACTGGCATATCCCTCTCTGGAGATAAAGAAAATATATTCCAATCTTTACTATTCTTTCATATAAAATGTCTGGTATATAATAAAAAATAACAAAATACATAAAAAGGAAAAAGAAAGTGGTTCATGATCAAGAGAGAAAAGAGTCAACGAAAGTAGACACAGAGTAGTCAGACAACCTGAATTATCAGAAACGGTCATTTAAAATAACTGTTAATTTTAAGAAAAGCTCATTCTCCAAGAAAGGTCCTAGGTAGCTAAATGTGTGCCTAAATTGCAGAATCTGGTAGCCATTTGCTGACTGGAGATCATATTCAAACTTTGTGTTCCTGGAAGAACCACAAACTGAACTTTGGGCCTTTGTCCAGGTGTGTTCCTGTTCAGCTGCCAAGATAAATAGTCTGAAAAGTCCTATTTCATCACGGAAACCTGAACAATGAACTATTATTTGCAGTCAAAATTAAATATCAACCAATTAGGAATGAGCATGCTTGCATCCTTCATTTGCATAACAGTCTTTAGTGGGTACCTGGTCTGGAACTTTATCTATATTAGCCAGTCCCTCTCTTTGCTCCTTTGGAACAGTTTCCTTTTGTAAGGAAGGCTGTGTCTCCCTGGTGAGGAAACTGCTTATTGAAATAAAGCTTCCATTTTTGTCTGAAATTCTTTCCTACTGAATTTTTGTTGACAAAACCATGATTAAAATGCTAATAGACCTGAGGTAGAAATTTAGGGATACAGAGAGAAGACTAAATCTCTAAAGGAAAAATATCCCTGTTAAACTGTAGAACAAATAATTTGTTGTTTGGTTTTTTTTTTTTTTTTTTTGATATATGGACTAACTTTATTTTTTTTTTAAATTTTTTATTGTGGGTTGTTCAAAACATTACAAATTTCTTGACATATCATATTCCACACTTTGATTCAAGTGGGTTATGAACTCCCACCTTCACCCCATACACAGATTGCAGAATCACATCAGTTACACATCCATTGATTTACAAATTGCCATTCTAGTGTCTGTTGTGCTCCGCTGCCTTTCCCATCCTCCCCCCTCCCCCCTCCCCACCTCTCCCCTCCCCTCCCCTCCTCTCTCTCTACCTCCTCCACTGTATAACCCTGAGGGTCTCCTTCCATTACCATGCAATTTCCCTTCTCTCTCCCTTTCCCTCTCACCTCTCATCCCTGTTAAATGTTAATCTTCTTCTCCTGCTCTTCGTCCCTACTCTGATCTTAGTTACTCTCCTTATATCAAAGAAGACATTTGGCATTTGTTTTTTAGGGATTGGCTAGCTTCACTTAGCATAATCTGCTCTAATGCCATCCATTTCCCTGTAAATTCTATGATTTTGTCATTTTTTAATGCAGAGTAATACTCCATTGTGTATAAATGCCACATTTTTTTTATCCATTCGTCTATTGAAGGGCATCTAGGTTGGTTCCACAGTCTTGCTATTGTGAACTGTGCTGCTATGAACATCGATGTAGCAGTGTCCCTGTAGCATGCTCTTTTTAGGTCTTTAGGGAATAGACCAAGAAGGGGAATAGCTGGGTCAAATGGTGGTTCCATTCCCAGCTTTCCAAGAAATCTCCATACTGCTTTCCAAATTGGCTGCACCAATCTGCAGTCCCACCAGCAATGTACAAGTGTACCCTTTTCCCCACATCCTCGCCAGCACTTGTTGTTGTTTGACTTCATAATGGCTGCCAATCTTACTGGAGTGAGATGGTATCTTAGGGTGGTTTTGATTTGCATTTCTCTGACAGCTAGAGATGTTGAGCATTTTTTCATGTACTTGTTGATTGACTGTATGTCCTCCTCTGAGAAGTGTCTGTTCAGGTCCTTGGCCCATTTGTTGATTGGGTTGTTTGTTCTCTTATTGTCTAATTTTTTGAGTTCTTTGTATACTCTGGATATTAGGGCTCTATCTGAAGTGTGAGGAGTAAAGATTTTAGAACAAATAATTTGTAATCAACTCTTGAGTCAGACAAAGGAGTCTAAGAGACAGAAAAAAAAATATAATGATTCAATGAACAGCCCATAAATTATTTTGTAACTTTCCAGTTTCCTGTAAGCTTTCTGGAATTTGACAAAACAGAAAAAAGACCTCGATAGAAAGAAATCAGCCATTTGATTGGACCATGACACTCTATCACAGTCACCTGACTACCTAACCTCCCAGGATCATTAATATAGGCTGAAACTTACCAGACCAGATCCCCTAAGTGGAAACATGATCTTCCTCAATTCTAGCCATGAAAGAAGACCAGTCTTTCTGTTTTGTTTTGGTACTGGGGATTGAACTCAGGGGTACTCGACCACTGGGTCCCATCCCCAGTCCTATTTTGAATTTTATTTAAAGACAGGGTCTCACTGAGTAACTTAGTACATTGCTTTTGCTGAGGCTGGCTTTAAACTTGTGATCCTCCTGCCTCAGCTTCCTGACTGCTGGGATTACAGGTGTGTGCCACTATGCCTGGCAGACCAGTCCTTTCGAATAATATAGTCTATCTAATTATGTACCCTAATAAAAGCTTGACCTTAAGTCCTGGTTTCTTGTTTATGAAATTACTGACATTCTGCCCTGAAAATACAAACTTTGACTTTCTATAATAAACTTCCTTCTTTGCTATGAAGACCTGACTTGTCCTTAAATTCTTTTCTGTCAGGAGCTGCCACATAAGAGCAGGGTACCCTCAGGCTTGAGCAATGGGGATGTGGGACTGGCTTCTGTTGTGCACAAAAGCAGGTGGACTTCACCTACACCCAGCAGGGGAGTGAAGCTCTGGGAGTGGGTGTTACCCAATGAGAGTGGGCTGCCTTCTTGTTCTTTTTTAATACTACCCTTTATCTTTGTTGGATGGAATGCTCTATCCAATGGCTGTCTTCAATAAAAACCAGGATTCAGGACATGCTCCCTCTTTCTCGCCTACCTCCCATATTTTTCTCTTGCCCCCCTTTGTGAGAGCTTAAAGCTGAGGTGGAGGAGCTGTCCTGAAAACACCCCAAAAAAGGTATTTTCTATGTCTGTGTGATTCCTTCATGCCACCCAATTCACCCGAATGACCCTGGATATGTAGCCCACATGGGACGTGGGCTACACTATTCTGTGCTGGAGTCAAAACCTGAAAGTTTCCAATAGATGTCTCCTGGGCCTCTGGAGACTTCCCTGGATCCCTACATGGTGACAGACCTAATGGAAAAAGATGGACAATACACACACACACACAAAGGGTAATATCAGCAGAGACATGGCACCATAAAAAAGAACTAAATAGAAACGCTAAAAATGAAATATAAGGGGCTGGGATGTGGCTCAAGCGGTAGCGCGCTCGCCTGGCATGCGTGCGGCCCGGGTTCGATCCTCAGCACCACATACAAACAAAGATGTTGTGTCCGCCAAATACTAAAAAATAAATATTGAAAAATTCTCTCTCTCTCTACCTCTATCTCTCTCACTCTCTCTTAAAAAAAATAAATAAAATAAAATTTTAAAAAAAAAATGAAATATAAGATGTCAGAATTAAAAAATTCATTATCTGGGTTTAATGGCAAACTGGACACAACAATGGAAAAGGTCAGTGAATGTGAAGACAAGTCAGTATATCAATAAAAAATATCCAAATTAAAACATAAAGAAGGGGTGGAGAAAGAAACTGGAAGTTCAAGCTCTGTGGGCCATTATCAAATGATTTAAAATGCATGTAAAAGGAGTTCCAGAAGACAAAGAAATGTGTAAAACAAATATTTGATAATTACTAGAAACTTCTTAAAACTCATATAAGATACCAATTTGTCAACCCAAGTAGTTCAGCACATTCCAGGTAGGATAAATATAAAGGAAACTATACTTGAGCTTTTACTTTCTTCTTTTTGGGGGAGGTACCAGAGGTTGAACCCAGGTGCACTTAACCACTGAGTCACACCTCCAGCCCCTCTTTACA